GGGGGGGGTGCAGTGCGGTGCCCCCACAAATAGAATCTAATTCTGTGGGAAAACACTGAAAAGTATACATTAACTAATTTGTTATGGAACTACATGCAAATCCAGACTTCAGAGGATCCAGCCCCTAAATTAGAACACACCTTTTATTTGCCTAGACTAAGAAGGGACCATCATTACTAACCTTCAGCTTCACCCTCTTCTTCCTCCTCCTCCTTCTCCTCCTCCTCCTCCTCTGACTCGTCTGAATCGAAGTTAAGGTAATCATCAGAAGCAACCTTTTTCTTGCTCTGAGTCTTCACCACTGCAGCATCAGGATCAGTTTGCAGCTGCTGCATAGTGTCATTGGACCAGGTCGGTGCTTGGCTTCGGTTCTGATGTACCGACAGAAACTCCTTGAACCCCTGGTCCTCTTCCAGCTGAGACACACCACAAGTAGACATGCAATGATTACAACTTGCATAAACAAACAACAACAAAGAAAACTGTACACACTTAGTGTCTCTTTCCACTATAACTGTGAGATATTGGAATGTTCAAAGGCCCAAAAAGGATTCTCTTTTAAAAACAGAAAAACTGTAATTTATCACTTATTATAACAATTATTTACGTTACGTCAATAATGTCATTATGTCAATATTAAACAGGTTTTAGTGAGGCTGATTTAGACCTGGGTGTAAATATAACAACTTCAAGGAGATTTCTGCACTTTGCGGTTGGTAACCAAAGAAGTATTGATGTTTATTATGTATGATTCACAAGGAGCTTGATTTCATCATGTCCACATTCAGATGTTGTATAATGAACATTTAACAAACATAGAATCTGATACTTTGACTCACAATTTCCAAGGTTCCGTTGGTTTCCTTTTTCTGTTTATTTTTCTAAAAGGCAGACACAAAAATAAGGTTTTACGGGATAGTGTTGCAGACACAGTTTAATATACATTGTACTTTTTTAAATCTTCATATGATTTGTATGTAAACATTGTACAAAGTATAAAGAATCCGGAAGAGATGTCAAATTGTTTTGTATGTGGTTATTGTTTTTTCCCTGTGATGATAATACTTTCTTCCTGGTGTGTGTACCTTCTTGCTGTCTGAGTCAGCAGGGGTGGAGGGTTTTTCGAGGCTCTGGGTGTGTTTGCTCCAGGCTTTGGCTTTAGTGGGGTCTCCAAACGCCTTACACATCTCAACCTGGAAGACATGAAAACCAGTATTTACTGTTCACATGTGTAAAACAAACAGTCACAGTCATCAACACGCATGGTCAGCAGAGGTAACTAAATACATTTACTCAAGTACTGTACCTAATTACACTTTTGAGGGTTGTTTCCATGATATGCTATGCTATACTTCTACTCCAGTACTTTAACAAAAAAGGGAAATAATATAATTTGACTCCACTACATGAATTTAACAGCTTTAGCTACTTTTAAAAAGTACCATCTCTAAAAATTAAACTAGTGGACTAACTCTTTAAGTCACAAAAGAGTAAATTGTATTTCAATTACAAATAATTGTAAATATTATACAAAAAGTCCATCAGAACTTTGTTTCTCTACTAAAGTAAAATGCTACTTGATGCAACAATATTATCTCCTAATGTCCCTTGTATAAATATAATTATATAAATACAGAAAGGCAATTTTTCTGCACAATGATTACTTTGACTTGTTATACTTTAAGTACATCTTGCTGATAATACTTCTGTACTTTGACTTAAGTAAGTTGAATGCAGGACCATTACTTTTAATGAAGTACAGAGGTGGGAGGTACACTCTGGTACTTCTACTTAAGTACAAGATCTGAGTACTTCTCCCCCCTCTGATGCAGTACTTTGACACAAACGTATTGGTTCTTTCACTAAAGTAAAGCATCTGAATACTGCACCACTGATGGTCATCTCCATACCGTCACTCTGGATGTGTCCACGAAGCTCTTGTTGAAGTGTTTCAGAGCGTTGTTCGCGTCTTCCTCGGCTTTAAACCCCACAAAGCCGAACTTACGGAACTTCCCATCCTTGGTGAACTTCAGAGAGCAGTCTGTCACTGTGCCAAAGGCAGCAAACATGGACCTGAACCTCTCCTCCTTCATCTGCACACAACACACAGCGAGGTTAAATCTTCAGGAGAAACCAGACAAAATGGTGCTGACATACGGGAGATTACTTACCCCATTAGGGAGGTTTTTAATGATGAGTCTCGACATGGTTTTAGTAGCTGTACTTCCACTAATGTAGCATGAGTTTAATGTATAAATATATGTCAACAAACGAGCATGGACACTGCTCTAGGACGCCATGTTGAATGAGAGGAGCTTCTCTTTCTTCTTCTCTGTTTTCCAACTATCGTAAATTAAGCCTTGCTGCCCCCTGCTGGAGAGTACACTGAGCGGCAGGAGAGGCATACTGTTTACAGAAGAGGATTAGGGCCACATGACCAAAAGTAGTTATTTTATTCTTATATATTATTTTTCTACTTTGTTATAATAATTATCATAAGTAAAAAAAAATATATATATATTATTATTATTGTTGTATGTTTTGTTTCTGACATGTTCAATAAATTGACAAAAAATATATATATTTATTCTGAGATTAAAGTCAGAATTCCAAGAAAAAAGTCAGAATCCTCACTTTCGGTCGGATCTAAAAAAGTGTTTCACATGTGGCCCTAATCCTCTTCCGTACTGAAGTGTAAAAATACTCTGTTTCAAGTAAAAGTCCTGCATTAAAAGTATTCGTTGTGGACATTTTAAGCAACAGATTACATTCATTTGAATTAAAATGTTGGTGCATGTTCATTACTTGAATTGGCTTATTTGAATTACCACGGGGTAGCTATAGCTTAACCTAAAATATATAATGATGTGTGTTGATTTATATTTTGTATTAATAATCTAAATCTGCAACGTAACTGGTAACACAATGTACACAATAAATGTAGTGGAGTGAAAAGTATAGCACATTTGCCTACAAAATGTAGAGGAGTAAAAGTATAAAGAAACATAATGTCAAAAATACTCAAGTACCTACATATTTCAATTAAAGGTCACCTCAATATAAAAATATATAAAGAACATGTCTATGAAGTGTTTTGCTCAAAATACCAAACAGATCACCCCTTCTAGCCGTGCCTCATATCCCTCAATTTCACTTCCTGTTTCAAAAGTGCTGATTTTGGGTGTAAAGCTTTAAAAATATATATATTGATACAAAATAAAAAAGGAGGGGGCTGAGCTCATGCGGGACCCGGCAGCTACTGTCTAAAGTCTAAACTAAATACTGCGGTGATGAAACGCCATATCATGGATTATCAAGGATTATTTCTGAAACAGTATGGAGCTCAAAGGCTTTCTCTCTTGCCGGTTATACCACAAGGTGAGTTCCTTTTTATTTCCTGCTTCTTCACAAACATGCTCTCCAGTACAGGTTAGCTCTGAGTGTTAGCAATGCTAATGTAAACACCGACCATATTACGTCCAAAACAGTCGGGCATTGTTTCTGATAGCAACTTTCTGATAGTGCCGTGGGTCCACATTTCCGATATTATGTCATATCGGACGCAAATCTGGATCAGCTCCGTTGTTCCCTCATTATTACATTGCATTTAGCTGATGCTTTTTTTTTATCCCTCGTTTTTAGAGATGTGGGTACGGAGGAAAAGAGAGAGGGTTTTATTTTCTGACGCTGCGTGAGTTCCCCGACACACCGGGGACACATATTTATGTATAAAAGACATCAAAAAGTGCATTTTGCCTGATAGGTTCCCTTTAAATACAGTACTTGAGTAAATGCAATTTGTTGCAGTCTGTTTTACCAAACTTAATGCAGACTGCCATCTACTGTAGATAACACTGTGACTAAGTACGCAACTTCAAACAACATATTGAAAACATATGAATGATCACTTTAAGTTATTTTACTTTAACATTTATCATAGTACTGTAATTGCTGTTAAAGTAATATAAAGCACTCCTGTGACCCCAGTAGAATGAAAACAGACTACTTGACTCGCACATCAATGAACCTTTTGTTCTCCAGGCCACATACCACACTGAAAGGTCAGGAAACTTAACAGGCATCCAAAAGTGCATAACAGTTCACTTTGAAAATACTCTCACTCTGTCTTGAGTTCATCTTTATTTAAAAAAAATCAATGGAATTCTCTTTTTTATGGGTTTTACACACCAATTGATCATTTATCATACCAAAAAAAACAAAAACATATTGTGACGAATACAATTTGAACCAAAGTGATGTTGTTATGACTTCCAGGCACATCTCTTTAGTTCAAGCAAAGCACCATGACTTATGTATGCTATATGTTTATCATTTATATTAAGATACATTTTCTGATTGAATATGTTGTGAGTGTGGACTATAAAGCCTTGTGGAAGGTACTCATGTTTGTGAAAACAAATAGTGGAAGACAAAAATGCTTTAATTGCTGTATTCATGGGTAATATGTTATATAGATAATAACTGCCTCATCCCTGTTGCATCGACAGTGCGGGCCTTTTTGGAGGACTTGAACTCATTCTGGATTTCAATAAAGGTTTTGTTCTTGGTTTCAGGAAGGACAAAGAAAATGTATATGGCCATACAGGTGCTGATGGCCATGAAGATGAGGAAACAATACTGCTCCAGCCAAACCTGTACAAATAAAACAGGATATAACACAATGAGTCCAAATCTCTCAAAGAACCAAGTTTATTACTTTCATTTCGTCCTTTGAAATGGACCAGATAATGATATAGCATTTGAAAAAGAAGATACCGTTATATGAACATACTTGTGTTGTGATATACCTGTATGGCCTAGCGTGATATTTGAAAAGTGAAATATTGATATTATATTCATTTAACACATATTATATTATGGTGTAAATAATTCAGCGCCTTTTAAGTAATTGGTTACAGATATTATCTTGGTTAAAGAATAACTCTCTCTGCCCTAAACTCGTCTTTTGAGTGTATTCTATTGGACAAAAAAGGTAAAACATACAATAAACAAAGTTAAAGATGATTTTGAGTGACAGCATTGTTCTCATCTGTCTCAAAATGTCTTTAAATATCTTTATAATGTCATAACTGTGAATCATTTCTAGCATAATAATCATGCAGAGAAAATATCGATCTGAAAAACATTATCAAATTGGACGGCCTTTATTGAATGCTTACCACAAGAAAAGGGAAGACCATGCTGATCAAGAAGAAGCTCAACCAGTTCAACGACCCTGCGATAATGTAGGCTGCAGGGCGTGTTGCTTGAGTGAAGAGTTCAGTGGTCAAGATGTTAGTCACACCACCTTCAAGGAAGAAGAAACACCAAAATAAATCACGTTAGTTATAACCATTGTGCAACAGCAGCTGCTAAGAAACTACTTCAATGAAGGAAAAAGGTATTACCTGGTCCTAAGCCAAAACTGAGGATAAAAGCAAACACACTAGCTATGCTCAAGTAAGGAACTATGGGGCTGGCACTCTGTGAGAAATAAAGCCAAACAGAAGAAATTAGTTTAGTGAGTACATACTTATTTATGGTCAAAAACAATGGTTTAAATATATGTTTTATAATGAGGTACCTGATAAGAGAGCGTCAGCGTGAATAATATGCAGCAGATGCTCATCAGTATGTATCCTCCCATGATGAGCACTTTCCTTCCCAGGCGATCAATGACGATACCCTGTGAGACACACAGCATGTCACAGGACCAAAGACACTCGAGGCAAACACTTTCCTTGAATTTAACTTTGACCTTTTACTCGTCAGTTTTGTACGGAGCCCTGGAGGGTTCATAGAGAGGAAAATAAATAAAACGAGGCCACGCTTTATTAACTCGTGCGCACGAGATGTAATTCGTGGCCTCAATTTTATTTATTTTTCTCTCTATGATCCCTCCAGGGCTCCGTAGTTTTGTTTTCCGCTAAATCCTGCTCGACAATATTTTTTAATCTCACCATTGAATGTTTTATTACAATGTTTCCTCTGTAGTGTTCTGCTCTGATCTATTTCAGTTGCACTCTGACTCTTATCCTTTGCATGACGCTTTTATTAGAAATGCCGGTTATACCCTTGTGGCTGTACACCTATACCTATTACCCTGTTGTGTTGCTGTAGCAAGAAGGAACACCACAATAAAAATACAGTGTGAAACTCATACTTACACATGTTAAAGCTGTGACGAGTTCACAGGCACCAGTGCCAAGGGTCACATATGGAATTCTTTCAGCAGAGATACCAGATTGTGTGAACAAGTAATTGGCATAGAAGTAAATCTACAGGAAACAAAATAAAAAACAAAGTGTATCATCTTTTAGGAACCTTGTTAGAGGTAGCAGGAAAAATCAATTAAAGGAACAACAGGTATAATATAGACGTACAGCATTGATGCCGTTCAGCTGCTGTGCCACGTTGAGCAGCGCCGCGGTGAGAAGCTGCAAGCGGACGCTACGATCACATAAGAGCTCCCAGGGTGTCTTGGCCTTGAAATCTGCCAAACCTCTCTTCTCCTTCTCGATATCATCAAGTTCGCCATCACAGCAAGATACACCGTGCAGTTGCTTCAGGGCTGCAGATGGGGAAACACATGACAAGCATGGTGATCAAAGTTTTCCCCATATTTACCATTCTTCTCATCTGACAAGGCTAGAGGGGATTTTTTTGTTGAGAATCTGATTAAAAAAGGTTTCATGTGTTAATGTGGCATTAACACAATGTTATCACATGCTGTAAATCACTGGCATGAGGACAAAATCTGCCCTCCAGTGATTCCAGATAAAAGGGAGCCCTCAATCATTTCAACCATGCTATCATGTGCGCTATGATCTTCTTGGTGGTGAAGAGAAACAATCACACAGATTTGGAAATGAAAGCATCTGTACAGTAGTTTCAGTGCAAGTTTACCTTTCTTGCATCCTTCACTATCTCCTCTGTCGATGAGCAGGTAGCGCGGGCTCTCGGGGAACCAGGGCAGGATCAGGAGCTGCAGGAAGGCTGGGACACATGTGGTGGCGAGCAGGATGGGCCAGTAGTCTTCTTTACCCAGGAGCTCTCTGGGAAATCACACAGACATGTCTAAACAAAAACACAGTATAGCATTTTTCTCTTTTTCTTTTAAAGTGTTGTCTTTTTCCATTAAGCCTGGTATACAGAACAAAGATGGCAAAAGGGAACAAAGATGTGAGATATATTATTATTTCATGTAAAAATCAAATATATCCATTAGCGCTTCAATTATTAGTTAACAAAAAGTAAATCAACAAAGATCTACTTTTTTGATAATTAATACATGTTTGTTCATCCAAAACGGCA